GGGGTCAGGGCAGTTAGGGGACAGGGAGCAAGGCGGGTCCTGGAGGGGCAGTTGGGGGAGGTCTCTGGAGGGGGGGTCAGGGGACAAGGAGCTGGGGGGGGTTGGATGAGTCGGGAGTTCTGGGGGGGGGCTGTCAGGAGGCAGGGGTGTGGAGAGGGGTTGGAGGAGGCAGGGAGGAGGGGGGGTTGTGTAGGTCGGGAGTTCTGGGGGTCCTGTCAGGGGGCGGGGAGCGGTTGGATAGGCATGGGAGTTCCGGGGGTCTGTCTGGGGGCAGGGGTGTGGATTAGGGTCAGGGTAGTCAGGGGACAGGTAGGGGGTAGGGTTCTAGGGGTGCAGTAAGGGGACAAGGAGCAGAGGGGGTTGGGGATTCTGAAGGGGGAAGTCAGGGGGCGGGAAGTAGGAGGGAGTGGATGGGGGCAGGGTGGGGGCGGAGCTCCCTGGGTGCACACCCTCATGAAATGGGCTGCCCACGCCTATGAAGCAAACCCTATGCCTTCACCAGATTTGTCAAAAACTTGGGGGGGGGGGGATATCTATGAATGGGTGACTAAATTTGTAAATATTTTACTCGGTATCCACAGGCCTTTTCCATTTCTAAATGAACTTCTTCCCAAATAAAATCTGCCAGCTGTGGGAATCTTAGTGCACCCACCTACATAGGGCACCCACAAATAAGTATTAGCTGCTTTATTCTCTCGTTTCCCTTTTGAATAATTTACAGTAACTTGAAAGCTAGAGGTGAAGCACAGCTACACATCACCTATAAATATTATCAATGTTTGAAACCAATTGTTTAGCTCTTCACTAGTGAGGGGCAGGGCTCGTACAGCGCTTTGCACGCGTAAAGCACTGTCTGGACTTGATTACACTCATGCTTTGCAGGATCAAACCCTGAATGTGGGAATTAACGAAATTATAAATCAGTAGCAGCACTGAAACAGTTTCCCTACACTACTGCAGAGATGTTAATCCACGCTCTGGGTGGGCTGCAATTAGGGTGACCAGATGTCCGAATTTTATAGGGACAGTCCCGATTTTGGGGTCTTTTTCTCATATAGGCTCCTACTACCCCCCACCCCCTGTCCCGATTTTTATCACTTGCTGTCTGGTCACCCTAGCCGCAATGCAGCAATAAATCTGACCCACACTCGGGCGTGGAGACCTTCCTGCTGGGGGGGGAGGGGGGTGTTTGAAATCTGGATGCGGCTCTTAGCTGTGCGGACACAGACCCTTGGTGGGGGATTGAATTGTCCCCGGCACACACAGGCCCAGCCCCCGTTCCGTGCAGAAGAGCCGCTCCCCGCCCGGCCTTTCCCCTGCTCCTGGAGCCCCGGAACCCGTGTGCCGGGCTGCGCTCGCCGGCCGGAGCGCGCTGGCGGAGCCACCCTGACGGGAAGCGGGTCAGCTGACCGCGGGGAGGCGCCCGGCCTAGGAGCGGAGCAGGCGAGAGGCCGCGGGGAAGATGCTGCTGGTGCTATCGGAGGAGCACAAGGAGCACCTGGGCTTCCTGACCCAGGTGGACAGCGCAGGTCCGGCTCGCCCTGCCCCGCTCCCCCGCACTGTTCCTCCGCCCTGGCCGGGCTCCTTCGAGCCCACGAGCCCCCAGCACGAGCGCGGCCCCCCTTGGGCAGCGAAGTGGGGTCTGTTGCCCTGATAAACTGAAACAGGGTCCTCTGCCCTGCTCCCAAAGCGCCTGACATCACCCGTCTCTGGAGCCCGCTGTGGTTGAGGGGCCCCTAGGAGCCCAGGGTCTTCTGCAGGGGCCACGCGGCAGCTCTGTTAATGAGGGAGACCTGGCCGAGGTGTGAAATGTGTCCCTGGCATTGCAAAACGCCCCGTCTCCCAACAGGCCGGAACTGCCCGGGGGTTACCCCAAGCACAGGAGTCACTGGGCAGGTCTGCAGAGCGTTTAATCTCCTTTCATTTCAGTTGTTGGTGAATTTGGCCGTATCGCAGTGGAGTTCTTAAGAAAAGGCACCAACCCGAAAATCTACGAAGGAGCCGCAAGTAAGAGCGAGAGAAGCGGGGCAGAAGGGTAATGCTGCCTGGGACCTTGCTGGACTGAAGGGGAATTGTTAAAACTCAGTTTTTTAAAACACTAATTTAAAAAACCTAGATATTTTAGATTTTATTAATCAAAAACATATGCCTTACTCTAAGGAGTATTTTACCCTGAAAAGGGAGAATTGCCATAGACTCCATGAAGTCCACTAGGGACTTGGCTGTTACTGATAATTTCATATAGAAGGTGCTTAGATACTACAGAGGGTGTGGGCAAATTTTCTGGTCCGAGGGCCACATCTGGGTGAGGAAATTGTATGCAGGGTAATGAATGTAGGGCTGGGGCAGGGGGGGTGGGCGTGCAGCGAGGGGGCGTTGGGGGCAGGGGGGGTGGGGGTGGCGAGGCGTTGGGGGCGAGGGGGGGTGGGGGTGGCGAGGGA